TGTCAGAGATAGTCAGATTTGCAGCAATACATGTGCTACTGACTCTGTCTGAGGTGCATTTTTACATCGGATAGGACACGCAGAGTTAAGATGAAGCATTTCCAGTGGCATCCCGTAGCGTACCAGAGCTGCACAGACACTGCGATACATGAGGGACCACTGCAGAAGCAAGCCAAGAATGAAGTCAGGTATCAGAAAGCCTTCAGGTCTTCCCCGCAGCATGAACGTGTCTCCCATGAATTCTAGGCTACTCCAGCCATGTCTCACACAGGTTTTTACCTGCGGCAAGCTTCACTTTGGAAAATTCCTAATTGATGCGCATGCTTGATATCACAACCTTAGTAACATTAGCAGCGCTGGCAGAAATAGGAATAAAATTACAAGCATCAGACCCAAACCTACGTGGTGCCACAGTTTAAATTACAGAGGCCCAAGAAGGCAGCAAAAGGCATTTAGCACTCCTCACTCTCACCAGGATGATCAGCTTCGAATGATGCCAGCAGGCAGCGGGCACCTACAACAGCTTTAGCTTTAGGAATCGGGCCTCTTGCATTTCTAAAGACATCATTCTGACCGGCACCTTACAGTATCGGCTTTGCTATCACAGATTTGGGAGCTTCAGGCTTAATTTGGGAAGCAATAACCCCAAACACAGTGAGGATAGCTGGTCTCTCCCCTGCTTGCTGTGTGGGCACGTGCAGGCTGTTGCCGCTCTGCACCCCATTCCCTGCACCCTTGGGTGTGGGGAGGAAAGCCCCCCTCCTGTTCCCAGTAAGGGACACCCAGTGCTGGGGGAGCAGGTGGGTGAAGGGAGGCCTGGGGTGCACCGAGGGGACAAGGAGACCCAGTGGGGACTGCGAGGGGGAAGGCTGGTGTGATGGAAATGGAGGGCACGAAGCTCTTCACTGGCCCTTGCAGGCATGACTGGTGCTGGGCTGGTGGGGGTGTGCGTGTGGGTACCTCTCTGCAGGCACCCTGGTCCCGGCTGAAGGGGTGCTGTGGGCATGAGGGTGGATGGAGGAGATCGTTCTGGTGGTGGTGTAAGGGGTGAGATTATGGCACCCCTTCCTCCTTCCTCTTCCACCCTTCCCTTTCTCTGTTGTGTCCGGGGCTCCTGGCAGGAACCCAGGAAGGAGCGGGACTGCCCTCCCTCCCCCCATCCATCCATGCATCCATCCATCCATTCCACCCACCCATCCGGTCTCCGAGGCAGTGTGGGGTGCTGCAGGGGTCCCCTCCCTGCCGCCCTGGGCACCGCTGGCAGCTTATCGACCCCGGGTAGGGGGATGCCCCTGGGGACCCGACCTCCCATCAGCCCAGCAGTTTGTGCAAATACCAGTACCCCAAAACATCCCACAGCCCTGCCTACCCTGGCGGGGCACTATGCCCCAGGGCTCCCCTCCACCCTGGCTCCCCTGGGGGGTGCGCAGCTCCCAAGCCCCAGGAAAAATAGAAAATAATATGCAGCCCTTATGGGTTTTCATTCCCTTCTCCCCCCTCTTTTTTATCTTTAAAATAGTAGTTAAGAAATAGCCCTGCCTGGGAGCTTTGCTGGGCTCTGAACCTGAGGGAGGTGAAGGTGGGAGAAGACGGTCAGAGCGATGGGATGGAAGAAATGCAGTCAAAAAGTTGGGTTTGCTATTTTTTTTTAATTTTTGCGCCCCCCCTCCAATTCGAAATCAGAAATTACTGCCTGAGGAGCCGACACTGCCTTTTATTGGCAGGTAAAAAAAAAAAAAGTTTTCAAAGCCTAATTTCCACCAGATACATTTATTTTCCGTTGAAAGCAGAATTAAAACAATACGTGCGGGTAGGTGCCATTAAACCTAAGCCATCTTTTGCTGGTAAGCACAGGAGAGAATGCTTACAAAAGTCAGTAAAGGAGAGCTGGGTTTTAAATGCAAACCCCCGGATTTTAGGAGGAGTAAGCTCAGAGAAGGAGGACTGAAGCAGCCTGAGGAACAAGGAGGGACCCTTAATAAGAGTGAAAATTCAGTGTCAGGTTACTTCTCGATATCGCAGGGAACATGCCATCCCTGGAAGGGATTTGTGGTGGTGAAATGCATCCCTTTGCTAAAATACCGTTTGATGCTTGCGTCGAAGAGGAAACCAAAACAACCTTTTGCCTTTTAAGCCCCGATTTCAAACAAAACCAAAAGAAAAGGGGGAAAAAAAAAAACCCAAACCCCAAACCACACAAAAACACCCAAACAAAAACCCAACCAAAAATCCTTCTAAATTTCCAGCTGCAGCTTTGAACAGCTCTCCTGGTGCTATTTGCTTCCAGCCTCACAGGCGGAGTGCCCCTGGGTTCCCGAGGTCTCCTCGCCCTCCCTCCCCCCGTTTCTGCTGCTTGGATGGTGGGTTCAGAAGCAAATGCCCTGCTAAATAATTGCTAGAATTTGAAAAAAAAAAAAAAAAAAGAGAGAGGGGGGAAAAAAAAAAAAAAAAAAAAGAGAGAGGGGAAAAAAAAAAAAAAGGAAGGGAAAATGCGCACCAGCATTCAGGTGCTAACCTACTTATTTGAAAGTAATTTATTTTCCATTTTGCCCGTTTTCCCCCTTTAAAACAGAACGCTGAAAGAAAGAATAAGTGCTTTAACATTTCAATGTTGTGCTCTGGTAATTACTTTTTCACTTTTCCCCTAAGTTCCAATGTGAAAACCTCACAGGGGGGTCTTTGCTGTAGCAGGGCTACAGTTCCCAATCCCATGTGCAAGATCTGCAATTACAAACCCATTCGGTGCCCTTCCCTATCATTAATATGCACAAAATCCTGCTGCTAATCTTATAATCTGTTTTGTTTCATCAATTGCTTGCCTAGCACCAGGCGGGAAAGGGAAAAAAAAAAAGAAAAAGAAAAAAAAAAGAGAGAAAGAAAAAGAAAGAAGGGGGAGAAGAATAAAGCCGGGAAGAACACGGAAAGCTTCCTAAAGTAAACGAAAAAACCAAATAAATCGCATTTTATTTCTTAGCCAGCGCAAATCGTGACGCCTG